CGATGCTGGGACGGGTTCAGTGGCAACTGAGGATTGTGACGAATGGTTTGAAGTGGTTTCGAAGTCTAGGTCGGGACTCGTGAGGGTAGATGAAGCGATTGGCGGAGTTTGCTGCTCTGAAACCCATTCTGGGGGTGGATCAAGGCTCAAACAAATAGAGCATGGTGCTTGAGGTGTGTTGCAGCGATAGCAGCGGCTGTTATCTTGGGTGGGGTTTTCAAAGGGTCGCTGACACGTGTAGCAGTAGACATTGATGAATGAATCTGCCTGGGTGTATTCGTAGACGGCAGGATATGTTGGTACACAAAATAAGCGGAGCTCTGCTGCCTCGAAGTCCATCGAGTGCCGAATCAGGTGCTCATTGTAAGTCTTGAAGACCATTTCGCATTCTTCATATGGGAGAATTTGTTCGCAGTCCCGAAAAAGAACGTGCATCTTCTGGAGGAGATGGGCCGCGGTTTGAATATCGACTAAGCTACTGCTGCTGTGGTAATATCGGACTGATTCTTTCATAATTGCTTCAATACCCCACGGTTTCAGGTCTGTTCCGTCTGGCGTGAGTGGAATTGGGACACGCGAGATACCACCCACTGTTGAATAAGGCATGGTACCGGGGTTGAGTGTATCATCTCGTGGGAAAGGTTGCTGTCTTTCAAGGGGCGTTGATTCTGTGATCAAAGGGAGAGGGCTTGATGGGCGCTCCAAATGAAGTCGATCAGTCTCTGAGATGAGCTGGTCGAAGAGCTCATCCTCAGATTCCTCGCGTGTGGAAGCTAGCATCGACCCTCTTCTCAGCGCTGCGGAAGATTGTCCAGTATCCAGGGATTTAGATGCCTCAATACTAGACGAGTACGACGCACCAATAGACTTGGATGGGTGCGAACTGTCGGTGGATGTAGAGAACATGGGAAAACTCTCCGAGGAATCGTGTCGACTATAGCGGTCAGAACGAGGAGGTCGATTAGCTTCCATTGGTGATTCGAGGGTCAACGGTTTCTTGGGGAATTGCTTGTAGTCACGAATCGCCGCACGTTTGTTTTCCAGCTTCAGGTCATAGTCATCTTCGGAATTTTCACGAGAGAAGTCTGGACGACGGCGCCAATCTGCCTTGCCGGCAATTGCCCGAGGCGCAGATCGTTGCTCTATGTCCAAATCTTCTTGTGTAGGATCCCATAGATATTGAGAAGAATGAGCGTCATCGGTTGATGATTGTCGTCCAAGTATACGGTCTGACATTGCCCAACTATTATGATCACTCAAGACTGATGGCGGGAGAGGGTCAAGGTCCATCACTGCATCGCTCATCGAGGGCATTTGGGAATCAGTGCTCGACCACGAGTCTTTTGGGGAATCTGGCAATGGGCGCACAAGGGGTGTGGTCATATTCGACGAGCTCTCGGCCTCGGGGACCGTCTCCATGACGGCTTTGAACAACCGGCTTTTCACTCTGTCCTGTCGACCATCATCGGGTCGTGACCTTTCTATCAAGCCCCCATCCTTGGATGACCTGTCTTTCAGACCACCTTTGGGATAGTCTCTAGCTCTACGTTGGAGCTCTTCAAGAATGGCGTATTTGATAATTCTCCAAGTCTGAGCCAATCTGGCCAGGGACACCTCATCTGCACATTCTGCGTTATGGTCCAGTGACTCAATCAAAGAGTTCAGGACGTCGGTCTGCGTTTTATGTTCGCTATGCTCATCCATCAACGGCGTATAGTGACTTGCCAAATGCCGAAAGACGGCTGAGTCGTTCGTGACATCCGGAATACTTGTGATGATTCCGACCTGGCTGGGCATTGGGGTGGCGAGTTTGGCTAGTGCTTGTTCTAGAGGGAGCACTGGTATGTAATCTACTCCGCCGGGTGGAGTACTGCCCCAGGAATTGGATGGTCGAATCGAGGCCGATTTGTTATGCCGATTTCGAAGGGAAGTGGCCAAAACGGCTTCATCAAAGATGTCATCTGCGGGGCTTTGACTTAGTGATCTCTCGCCAGAGCTGTCATCATCATCGTCGAGCCGTAGAAATTCAGCGGCATTGACTCCTAGAGGACGTCGCCTAGGCCGTTGTTGACTGAACGCAACAAATTCGCCAGTGGGACTCCAGGCTACGGAGCACATCGGTCGGCGACTGGCCACGGTTGGCGCATACCGAACATCGGTCTGGGTAAAGGCCCCGGCCTCGCCGACCGTCCACAAAAGATCCTTGGAGCGCCAGAGCAAATCCGATGCGGGTGTGTCGTACCGATCGAACTCGCGGAATGGAATGTGCGGGCGGCGGAGATCCCAAAGGTGAACGCGTGGGTCTTCTTTGTCGTAGGACGTGACAACTTGAGAAGATTGCCATTGTCCCGAAGCAGACTCACCAACCCAAGAGGGAGGCCTCCATCGCACATTTGTGACCGCTTGTGGCGTTCGGAATTGGAATGCCGGTTTCTGCCGTCGCTCTGCAGATAAAGAAAAATCCCAGACCTTTACCTGGCGATCCGTGCCTCCACTAACAATGTGCTTTCCATCTGGGTGCCAGTCGACTGCGAAGCATGGGCGATCATGAGCAGCAATTTTCATTAGTGGAGCATTGGCCTTTCGGTAATCCCACATCTGGATCGCGCCGCTATCTGAAGCAGTCGCAAATATGACTCCATCGTTAGGAGACCACCGGACGTCTCGGATGGCATCGCTGTTGCCCTGATACAGATATTTGCTGCCGCACGTTGAACTTCCGCGATTTGCAGAGGCGGATCGCAGATCCCACATCCGAATTGTGCCATCTTGACTACCGGACAGCAGCCAAGAAGGAAGATGAGGGTTGAAGGCAAGCCTATGCACTTGGCGATTGTGACCCTGGAAACGACACAATTGCAGGCCGGGCCGATGTAGGTCGTAAATGACAATCCGACCATTCGCGACTGCGGTTGCGATTATCCGGTCATGGTTCCCATGTGACCATTTTACGTCCTTGACATTCAATTGATCCTTGTGTGGCATCGAAACACCCGTGTCGTGGTGGGTAGATGCATAGCTAATGACGGCATTGCGAATATTGAATTCCTCTGACGAGCGGTCTGGCGAGACCTGGATGGTTTTGAGAATCTCCTTGCCTGCGATAACCGCATGTGTCCGCTCGGGCGAGATGTCCAAAGCCGTGATTGCGATGCCTGTCTTGTGGGTTACAGTCTGCGGTTCTCCTGGTCTTTACAGAAGCAAATATTAGAAACTTGAAGATTCCATTGGCTCAAATGCAATTGCCCGATCACACTAGCTCCGATGACCGAATGGTGGGGTTGGTCACTACATCCGTAAAAAAAAGCAAAAGAGGGAAAAGTAACCCACGGGAGCAGGGGTGTCAGAGCGGTGTGATAGAGCGGCAACACTTACAGTGATTTGGATCTGATCGACCGGGGACCATCCGCACGACTGCTTTGGGAACTAGGTGGTCTTGAGCCCGAGAAGAAAGGTTGGGCGAATCTCGCAAGGGCATTGGCGGCGCGATTGGAGTACTTTTGTGGCGGAGGGGGAGGAGGAGGGATCGGAGATTGCGAACCTGAGAGGTCCGACATGGTTTATAGCCAGATCTCCATTCTGGCAACGCGATCACCGAATTGGAGGGAAAAAGATGCGGAGAGTTGAAGATCATCGAAATGCAAGCGGTGAGGGAGAGATCCCTGAGGCACCGATCTATGCCTTACTGCTATCCATTAACAACATACCGGACGATAGTTATAACATTACACATGAAACTAGGGCAGCAGTTAGTTGTGCTACGTGACTTTTCTCACAATGTATATTATATTTTTCAAGCCTTACCTATTGAAAGCCATCGGGCCTGAACATATGTTAAGGGCGGTCTAGAAGACAACACATGAGAGGGATCAGATTGGAATGTGAACTTACGATCTATTTTCTTCAAGGGAACATGTCTAAAGATTAAAAGATTAAAAGACCTATACTATTGTATAGTATATAGTTGTATATAAGACCTAGGAAGCATTCTGTTTTGCCTCAACCAGTTAGGAAGTGGAACACGAGACACATAGGAAATATATAACTATTCATAGATCTTCAGGGATGACATATTCACAAACTATAGTTACGTACATCACATACGAGTACCAAATCAGTGGGTACTACGATCCGTGGCCATTGAACTGCGCCCCTTGGCCACCCGACGTGACTAAAAGACACCAAGAGAGGCAAAATAATACATTCGGGTTGCTTTATGTTCCTTGGCAGCTTAGTGAAGTCATCACATGGGCATCTGCGCGGATTGTTCTCGATCGATCGACGATCCTTTTCTACCCCCCCTGTTTTCACTTTGAGACAATTTCAACACCAACCATTGGGTAGGAAAGGCTGTAGATTGTTTAATTCATATCAGGACATTTTCCAATATTACCAGAGACAGACAGAACCCTAAAAGACAACCCAGAGAAAGAAGATATAGATATTAAAGAGAACGGCAACTTGCAGCGTGACCCCATTTTTATTTTTTTAGCTGCAGCAACCTACATACATATCCAATCCACACCGTCGTTCAGCCATTCTACCTATGTCTATATATGCCTTACGGAGAATATTTCCATATATTCGCCTCTTCCTGTTCTAGTTATAGCACTGCTCTTGTTGGCTTAAAAACCATCCAATCCCTTCCTAGGTAAAAATAAATCCTGGAGGCAAAAGCAAAGTAGGAAAAAAATAAATTTAATAAGAAATTCAGTGAGAAAAGAAGAATAAGCATTCGTATATCTTTTCCCTTTCTTTTCTTACGTTTGCTTCTGTGGAATCTTTATAGTTCAACTTGTTTCTTTTTCCTAAACTTTCCACGTGGAAACCTGCTGAGGTTGTTTCTCCGCCATCATTCCTCGCGTCGATCTCTCGCCATACCCGTCGTCCAGTCCTTTCCGATCCGAACCCGGCAATCTCCCTTTCTTACCTTTCTTTCGAGGGAGGACTCTGTCATGGACTTTGTTTAAAACACTCATTTCCGGGATATTTAGTGGGCAATGGATCCTCATGCAGCCCTTGAGCTGCTGGAATACTTGCGCACCTCTTACCCAATCTTCCTTCTTATCCTCTTCGTCGTGGCCTTCGTGGCTAGTACTACCATCGCTGCGAAGAAAGCTAGCAAGCATGAGTCTCAATACTTTGGCCCGGGAGGGCGACCACTCCCTCAGCGAACTCGAAGTGTGCCTGCCTACAAATCCCAGGAGTTCTCGCGGAACGTCAAACGAGTTTTCAACTTGCTCTCCGCGGCCATTCTTTTGACCTTCCTTGCGGATGCAACTATCTATATCGTACATGTGATGACGGCCAGGTCGGAGAACTGGTGGCGAGGACAGTCCTTCGTGGTACGTTCTATTCAGATGGTTTGGTGCTGCTCGACAGCCGTTGACACTTATTACAGATTTACGTCGTCGGCTCGTTCTTCGTCTACGCAGTGCTGCTCATGGCAATGCTAGACACATCCCCCTCGCCTACTATCGCCCAATTTGTCTGTTGGTCTGTCGCCATCCCGATCGAATTGGTTATTGTTAGCACCTCCCTCTCAATCTACACCTCGGTTCACCACGAGCCAATTGTCGGAGACCCAGAAGGTGGTCGGATCCGCAGAAGCATTACATTATGGGAGTCCCTCGAAGTGGGATCGAACAGTGTACGCATCCTTATCTTGTTTGCACTGGTTCTTCTCTACGCCTGTCAATCGTTCAGCATGAAGAGCCACGGGAAGGCAAGCCAGGGAGCGAATGGAGTCACGGAAGCCACGGGACTTTTGGATTCTGGTGGTGCAGAAAATGGAAATGGGAACGGAACTGCCAATGGTCATTCATATGGCTCGACGAACGGAGCTCCTCGCCCCGAAAATTCCAAACCTACCGATCCATGGGTGCGTCCGACGACTGTCCCTTCCACTAGCTGGTGGGAGTACCTGAGTGGGTACTCGCTATTTTTCCCATACCTGTGGCCGTCCAAATCTCGCCGTCTGCAACTAATTGTCACCTTCTGTTTTGGACTCCTCATATGCCAGAGAGTCGTTAACGTCTTGGTACCCTACCAAATCGGACTCATTACAGGTTCTCTTACTAAGAGCGAGGGTGAGGGTGGGGACTTCCATGTGCCATGGCTTCAAATTTGCCTGTATGTGTTGTACCGGTGGTTGCAGGGCGGCCAGGGCCTACTCAGCTCTCTGCGCTCTAGCCTCTGGATTCCCGTGAGCCAGTACTCTTACATGGAGCTCTCCACTGCTGCATTCGAACACGTCCATAGTCTCAGCTTAGACTTCCATCTCGGAAAAAAGACCGGAGAAGTCCTGTCCGCTCTGAGTAAGGGCAGTTCGATCAATACTTTCCTTGAGCAGGTCACCTTTCAGGTTGTTCCAATGCTTGTCGACCTTGTCATTGCGATTGTGTACTTCATGGTCGCATTCGATGTCTACTATGCTCTAGCTGTCGGAATTTCCACCTTTGGCTATCTCTATGTCACTATTCGCATGGCCCAGTGGAGAGCAGAGATCAGAAGACAGATGGTCAATGCCTCGCGACAAGAAGATGCTGTCAAGTAAGTTGGAATGAGGCTTTTGTTGTATATTCGAGATAAATGTGGTATTAACTTATGCTTCTTCTAGGAACGATTCCATGGTCTCATATGAGACAGTGAAATACTTCAATGCCGAACAGTACGAATTCAACCGGTACCGGGGTGCTGTGCGTGACTTCCAGAAGGCCGAATACCACGTGCTATTCTCTCTAACACTACTGAACACCTGTCAAAACACCGTGTTTATGATGGGCTTATTGATAATGTGCTTCATTTGTGCATACCAGGTTGCTAGTGGTCAGCGCCCTGTCGGCAAGTTCGTGTCTCTACTGGCCTATATGGTCCAACTCCAGGGCCCGCTCAATTTCTTTGGCACATTCTATCGGTCTATTCAATCTGCATTGATCAATGCCGAACGACTGCTAGAATTGTTCCGTGAGCAGCCAACTGTGGTCGATAGCCCAAGTGCCACCCCGTTGGCCGTATGCAATGGTGACATCAAATTCGAGAATGTTGAGTTCGCTTACGATGCGCGTAAGCCCGCGTTGAATGGCCTTACCTTCCACTGCCAGCCGGGAACTACCACCGCCTTGGTTGGTGAGTCTGGCGGAGGTAAGTCCACCGTCTTCCGCCTCTTGTTCAGATTCTACAACTCCGATAATGGACGTATCTGTATCGACGGACATGATGTACAGGATGTCACAATCGATTCACTACGCCAGAACATTGGTGTGGTGCCTCAAGATACTGTACTTTTCAACGAGACTTTGATGTACAACTTGAAGTACGCCAACCAGGACGCCTCCGATGAAGATGTTTTCGAGGCTTGCCGCGCTGCCAGTATTCACGACAAGATTCTTGCTTTCCCCGACGGGTATAACACGAAGGTTGGAGAGCGTGGCCTACGACTTAGCGGTGGCGAGAAGCAACGTGTTGCCATTGCTCGCACCATCATTAAGAACCCGCGCATCATTCTCTTAGATGAGGCAACCGCAGCTCTAGACACAGATACCGAGGAGCATATTCAGAGGGCACTCGCTACTCTCTCGCGGGGTCGCACCATGCTGGTGATCGCTCATCGTCTCAGCACTATCACTACCGCAGACCGCATCTTGGTCTTGTCAGAAGGTCAAGTGGCTGAAAGCGGCACCCATGAAGAGCTTTTGGCTATGAAGGGTCGCTATGCCAGCATGTGGCGTAAGCAGATCCGTGCCCAAAAGGCTATGGCAGAAGCTCAGGTTCTAGCCGAGCGAATCCGCACTGCAACCACAAGCGATGACAGCTCCAGTCAGTCGGATGAAGACCGCAAAGTTGTTCGGTCGCTGAAACAACAAAATCAGCAAGGCCCGAACCGCTAAAATAGGGTCAGTGAATGACTCTTGTTTTCCACATATGCATACTTTTTTTTATCATATCCTTACAAGAAAAGTGTTCAGAGGCAGTAGCAATCCGAGGCAGCATGACATCAAGTTTGATGTCTCATCTCGAGGGGTGACACATAATCTGCTTTTTTTTTCTTCGATTATTTGTCGTTTTTCAGTTCATTCGTTCTTCCAGGTATCGTTTTTCCCCCGTTATCTGTTTTTTTTCTGTTGGCGTTTTGGGTTTACGACGCGTACGATGTTGTCGTCTCTCCTCTTGTCCTTGTTCCATATGAATGCAGGCGCAGAGGGTCGGGGTTGGGACTCCTGCAAAGTCAAAATAGATGAATCGCTAGGCTCAATATTAATATAAGAAGAATTCAATTATTAACGTGGATCACAACTAGTTGCTTGTGTGCATCATTTCTATCTGATTCAAGTTAAGATCATGGAGTCCATGCTCACTCCACACAGAGCCACTGTCGGTTTTTATAGAATTTCGAACCGTTCTTCTTTCTACATCCTTGCAATATTAGTGCGTGATATGTTTAAACTTATGCAGAGGCGCATTAGTGCGTGTCAATATGTAGGCCGGGGCCGCTCGCTCTCTCAGCCAAGACCCCGAACCAGAAAGCTTCCAAGGGTTACTTCACGTGACACCAACCATCATCCGAGCCACTAGTTACATCACCAGGCTATATCATACAGAACCAACCCGACAGCCGCTCTATCCCACATATCGCACCAATGCATTCACCATCACCACAACTCCTACGCGTCTTACGCACCTCTCTGGCCAATAGCCGCCGCACTTCGAACTTGACTCGATTCTGCCAGATCCCATCAGCGACCGCAGCACCATGCCTTGTCTCAAATTCCAACACTGAGCTGCCCTCAGGACGCCGCAACTATAGTTCACCTATCCAACCAACGCGCATGATTCCTCGCTCGCACGCGCACAAACCCGTCAGCCGCGACCGCGGCCCGGAGTCCAAAGAAGACACTCAGACCAACTTCGATGCGTTAAACGTGCTAGGCAACATCCCTGCGCCAACGACGGCTATTGATGCATGCCTCGATTCTGGGTTCCATCTTAACAATGGCGTCAAGCTAACCAACGGCGATGGGCTGTTGCTGGTTGGCAGTGAGGCATTTGCGTGGCGACCGTGGAAGGCTGTCCAGGGCGCTGAGAGCGACAGTGCCGCTAAGGATGCTATGCTCAACGCCAAAGGGCAGTTTGAGCTTGATGAGTCGGTCTGGGGTTTGTTGAGTCTTGTCTGGCCAAAGCCTGGTATGTTGGCTCTTACTTCTTGCCTTTTTGTTCCCCCCAGATATGTCTTTTCGTCCATGGATATGACATACTTGAGCTTGACGGCCAAATTACTCTTCAATTTTCTAATATTTCTACTACAGATATGCTCATCCTTGGTCTTGGTGGCTCCATGTTCCCACTCTCGCCCGAAACTAAACGTCACATCAACTCGCTGGGCATTCGGGTGGATGTTCTCGATACCCGGAATGCGGCTGCACAGTTCAATCTGCTTGCGACGGAGCGCGGTGTAACTGAGATTGCTGCTGCCATGATTCCTATTGGGTGGAAGGCCAGACCTCTATAGTATAGGGGTTATAGGTTGTCTTGAGAATAACATGTATTATAAAGATTGTTCAAGTATATGAATTAGCCTGATTCAAAATGAAATAATTCTTCTCCGTTCATTCTTGGTTTTACGAAAGGGTAGGTGTACGGAGTAGTTCTTATACGGAGTACGTTGCATCCATACACAGTTACATGTCACGCGACCTCTAGGGTTGTTATCTTAGCCTTATCTCCTCACCTCCGCCCCTGGGGTTCAGGGTCCACTTGACACAACCTTGGAAGGCCGTAATCGAATCTCTCGACCTCGCACATCTGTTTTCACTCTTCTCTAATTCTGTCTCTATCCCAGATATGGCGCGGGAAGAGTCCCTCCTACCTCCCCGCCTGTCCTCCGATGGCTCATCGATCCGAAATGACGAGGAGGACTACGCTCTTCTGACCGGCGAGCGAACGACTCATCAAGACAAACGACGAGCCTGGCCTTCCTGGCGGGAAATTGGAGTATTTTCCTGGGCCCTTGTTGCAACAATTTTGGTCATTGTGCTGGCCGCGATCTACCCACACAAGTCAGCCGAGCCTCACAACCATCTTGCGTCAAACACGACCTGGGGCCCTGGAGGCAAGCCGACAGGCAAGCGGAACATGATCTTCATGGTGTCTGATGGCATGGGACCTACTAGTCTCTCGCTGACTCGAAGCTTCCGGCAATACACGCACGATCTGCCATTCGATGACATTCTAGTCTTGGATAAACACTACGTTGGGACTTCGCGAACACGCTCAAGCTCTAGCTTGGTGACAGACTCTGCGGCTGGAGCGACGGCTTTTTCATGCGGTCGCAAGAGCTACAATTCTGCTATCTCGGTGCTTCCCGACCACTCGCCTTGTGGGACTGTGCTGGAGGCCGCTGCATTGGCGGGCTATAAGACAGGTCTGGTTGTGACCACTCGCCTGACGGATGCGACCCCAGCATGCTTCGCCGCACATGCCAATTTACGGAACTACGAAGATCTGATCGCCGCCCAAGAAGTTGGTGAACACCCTCTCGGTCGGGTGGTAGATCTTCTGCTTGGCGGTGGGCGGTGCCATTTCTTGCCCAACTCACAAGCTGGCAGCTGCCGTTCGGATGATCATGATTTGGTCAAGGTTGCTTCTCAGAATGGATTTGGCTATATCGATGATCGTGCTGGCTTCGATAGCCTCAAGGGCGGCGATAATGTCAGTTTACCGCTGCTAGGTCTCTTCGCTAGCGGGGATATCCCGTATGAGATTGATCGACGCACTCAGAATGATATCTATCCCTCTTTGGAGGAGATGACTCGCACTGCCTTGAAGGCCTTGAGCAAGGCCACCGAGGACAGCGAGCAAGGGTTCTTTATCATGATCGAGGGCTCTCGCATCGACCACGCCGGCCATGGCAATGATCCTGCCGCCCAGGTTCACGAGGTACTGGCATACGACAAGGCATTTGCTGCCGCGCTCGAGTTCCTAGAGAATGACTCTACTCCTGGTGTGATTGTGAGCACCTCCGACCACGAGACTGGTGGTCTTGCCGCGGCACGACAGCTGCACAAGAGCTACCCGGAGTATTTGTGGCTTCCGAATGTCCTGGAAAAGGCAAACCACTCCGGCGAATACCTTGCCGCTCAACTGAAGGAATATCTTTCTGGGCCAGGAAAGGACGCCGAGGATTTGAGTAAACAGTCTTGGATCCGGCAAACTCTCAAGGATGGGCTTGGCATCGATGATGCTTCAAACGATGAAGTGAATACCTTGCTCCACCCGGACCCCGAAGTCACTACGGCATACGTATTTGCGGACATGATCAGCCGTCGCGCTCAGGTTGGCTGGACTACTCATGGACATTCTGGTAAGATAGTCTCAAGCAGTGATCTATGATAGTATGCTAATTTCGTTATAGCTGTTGACGTCAACATCTACGCTTCGTCTACCAAGGATGCTTGGCCATTGGTTGGCAACAACGAGAACACCGATGTGGGAGACTTCCTTGCTGATTATCTTGATCTCAATGTCGACAACGTCACGAAGTTGCTACAGGATACTAAGTCTGGAAGTGACTGGATGGGCGATCGCCTGGGCTTGAATTTCCATGCCGAGGGACTAGACACTTACCATGGAGACTTCAGGAAGCGATCTGCCGATGATTGTGGATGTGGTGCTGTCCACTAAACGATTGTCACCACTCGACATTTACCTATTCTGTGAATTTTCTGTACTGGGCAGCACTGTCAATATTTTGGGGTTTCATCATCATCATATATACATATATGCAATTCAGCTCTCGCATTTACTTGAACACGCGTGTACAGCGAACATTAGTCTTACGAGAAATAAGCTTGGTATTTTGGGTGTTATTTTCTCCTCTGACTTCAAGATGCCCAGTAAAATCTTCAATAGACATGTCCCTTCATCACCACAATACTTTCTCTCGGCATAAACCCATATTCTGGCTAAAGCATGAACCGGAATCACAATGCTTGTGTATGACAACCAGGACAGCTCGCCACCAAATCCATTCTCCGGTGCACAATATTACTTTCCAAAATCACACTCTGATAATTCACATCCAGACTGGAGGTGATTGGTCTCATGGTGATTGTATATGGCTGGCAGGTAGGGCAATCTGGGTCAAATGGCAGATCGTAGTCTCTGAGCTGTTGCGGGTCGTTGATGCGGTTCAGTTGATGGAGGACCTCGCGGCAAAAGAGGTAGAGCTCGAAGCACGTATGCTTGCAACTGAAGTAGTGGGTCTCCACGAATAGACACATGTTGAACTGGCTCGTGTAGATGCCACACGAGCCTACAGACTCTATGTTCGTCTGCTTCGAGAGAGCTTTATTCCGTGTCAGTGCTGTTCGAGGTAGAATGTCTGTTTGCGCTCACTGGTTGTGTCTCCTCTCTTTGAGGGTGATTGATTGATTGTGGTGGGAAGTCTGAGACGTGTCGCGTAGTATGGGACTGGCCAGTATGACTTTTGTTATCATATAGAGAACCTGTGGTTGAGTGCGATGCTGGGTTAGAACATGTCCCATAACTAGGAAGTTGGGAGTCCAATATACGAAGAAATGGGCTTTGGGCAATGTTAAAGCAAGCCTTTTTTGATAGAGCATAGTGAATGAAGCCATGTCATATACTGCAGTGACAATGAAGGAAAAGTGAGCTGAAGACTAAGCCTTGTTTGTTGCTACTCTGTTTGCCCCATCCACACGAGAACAAATATCATTTTGTTTACATAAATCATGGTGAAAGCCCTAGAGTATAGTCTGAGGTAGGAGGTAACAATATTTATTGAGGGAAATATCAACTGCTTTGGAGCATACAGTGTAGGCCATACGCTCTACCGGATGTTAAAAAAGAAGCCAGTATTGTGAGATAAAGG